AATAATACCAAGTGATGGCAAGAATGCAGAACATGTGAAATTCTCATGTACTGCTGATGGAAATGAAAAATAGTAAGCCGCTCTGGAAAAAAAGTGTGGCAATTTCTTAAAATGTGAAATATACACCTACCATATGATCCAGCCATCCTACTCCTAGGAATTTATCCTACAGAAATCAAAGTGTATGTCCATACGTGAATGTTCATAAGAACTTTATTTACAAAAGCCTCAATGTGGAAACAACTCAGCTGCCCATCAACAAATGGGTAAAAAAATGTGGTATGTCCATATGATGAAATTATCACTCAGCAATAAAATAAAATGAAGTATTGGTACTGCAATATTAATGAATCTCAAAATAATGCTGAATAAAAGAAACCAGACAGAGCAAGTATGTATTGTATAAATCAAATTATATGAAAGTCCAGAAATGCAATCTTATCTGTAGTGACAAAAGAGCATTTGTGGTTACCTGGGGGAAGGTTCAGGAAGAAACCGGAAGGATTATAAGGGGCACAAGAAAACTTTTGGATGGTGGATATGTTTATGACCTTGGTCATAGGGATGGTTGCACAGTGTGTGCACTGTACACTTTAAAGATGCTATTCATAAAGTGCCAATTAATAGCTCAATAAATTGTTTTTTAAGGACCAGTATCAAAAGATTTGAATTATTTTGTGTATTGTTTTCAAAATGCTCTGACATAAGAGCTCCTGATGTTGTACAAAGTCAAAAGTGATTTAAAAGAGTTGTTTGAGAAAAAGCCTTAGTTTAGTTTTACTTCTCAATTTATTTCAGTTGTATGCACAAGGGTAACCGATGATTTAAAATATTTCTAAATTTAAAATAGATCTTTTAAAAACTATGAAGTAAAAACCCTAAGTGATCTGAAAGCATTGTGTCATAGTTTCTTAGTTTCAATGGCTGTTTTTTCTCCACCTATAGCACCTAAAATAATGGTGCATCTTGCAATCAGTGATGTCTTAGATTCAAAGAAATACACTATATCCAGAATTGGACCACTTTTATTCCCTTCCACAGTTACTGGTCCAAGCCATCATCATCAGTGACCTGACCTACTATAGTAGCTTCCCATCTGTTTCCCTACTTCCACTACAGTCTACTTTCAGCATGGATGGAGTGATCCCTTAAAAAAATAAATCAAGAGAAGTCAGTCTTCTGTTCAAAATCCTGCTGACTTTTCCTCTCATTCAGACTAAGAGCCAAAGTCCTTACATGACTCTGCAATGCCCAGGCCATTCTAACCCCATCTGATGACTTCCTGCCTTCATAATTTCCTCTAGAATTTTTGAAACTCACTTTCACTGTAGTCACCATCAACTTCTTTGTTCTTTGTAAAATATGTCACAAATGTACATATTACAGGAACTTTGCATTTGCTTTTTCTCTTCCCCATGACTTGCAGTATGCTCTCCTCATCCTCCATCAAATCCTTGTTCAAATGCTTTCTTATCAATGAGTCCTTTCCTTAGTAACCTATTAAAATTGCAATTCCACTCCAACACTCCTGGCTGGCAGCCCATCCCCATCTCATGTGCTTCTCCCTGCTTTACTTTTTCTATAGTTCCTAACACCTTATGGCATATATGCATTTTATGTATGTTTCATCGATCTGCCCCTCAAACTAGTATATGCACAAAAGGATTTTTGTCTTTTCTGTGTTTCCAGCACCTAGAACAGTTCCTAAGCATATAGCAGATGCCCAGCAAGTACTTGCTGTTGACCATATGAATATATATCCTTGAGTGGCTAATGGTTATAGCTTGAAACATCTAGGCACAAGGTGGAAATTTATTTACTACTTTATACTGTCTTTAAAAATCATATGTATTTTGTACTTATAGGGATTTATATGTATTTGTTTTATTATTAATAATTTGCCAGATTTATAGTCCAGGAATATGTTTGCCCATAGCCGTTATAAATCACTATGAGTCACAGTCTGAGTAGCACATCTTTGAGTATTAGAGACTCATTTTATCTGGATATAAATTAGTTTATCTGGCCTCTGCCACTCAAGAAAGGTAGAGAGAGAGAGAGAGAGAGAGTTTTAGGATTCCCAGGTGGTTTCAAAATACAGAGATGAGAGGTCCGTAAAGTTGTAGACAAATTAATAGCAAATAGGCTGGCTCTAGGTCTAAGAACTTTCTAAGTATATTTGGAAAAGACATAATATGATACAAGTTAATAAAACTTGTGGGAAAATGAACATTTAAATTTTAAGAATGGAAAGCAAGGTAATGTTAACTAATTGATTATTTTTTTTCTTTAATTAGGCTGGGCAAGTCTAGAAGTAACCAGGAAAAAAATGTAAAGATAGTCTTGTACTTTTAAAAAGAGGGAAGAGCCTTGATTTTTCTTTATTTCCATGGTCTGTATTTGTAATAGTCAATTATAATGTCTTTTCCTACAAAATGGTTTCTTTTTTATTCACCAGTAAATGGCAGCCATTTGATAAGTTCCTCTGATTTCTCTTTTTCCTTCTGGCATGTTCGACCTTAGTCTTTCTCCACTCTTCTGTTTTTTCTTTGTTCCCCTGAGTCTTGATAACATACGGGGGAAAAAAAAAAGAAACCTTGGATATAAATTTAGAAAGAAAATGAGTTCAATGTGGGGAATCCAAATGCTAGGAGTTCGAAAAGAGCATGTGGCTGGCTTATGGCTCCTTTTGGCAGAACTTGAGGAAAGACCTGGCAGAACTCCTCCAGACCCTCAGGGGTGGAGCACAGCTCACCTGGCCAGCACTCTGGGTCCTGCAGAGCAGCCTAATCTTCCCTGCCTGTGGGCTGCCTTGCAGTCTGTAAATGTAGGGTAGAAGATTCTTCTGGGGTGGAGAAAACGTAAGTGAGGCAGTTTGGTCAGCATCTGCTATAGATTGTGGTGAGGTGCATTGCACATGCTGGACTTTATTGATATAAATCACTTTGTCATGAGGCATCATCAGTGCTCAGGTAAACGAATCAATTGCACTTTGTCATTATGTATAATCATCAGCTTGTGTGTTATATAATTTACCCACTGTTGGTCTTGAATAGAGCACTTTTCATTGAAGTATTTGTTTGCAGACCTGAACTTGACATATGGCTCCCAATTTGTTTCATTTTTTTTTCCTTAAGAGTTTCTTCACCTTTGTTACACCTTTGTGATTCAAGGCCCAGCGGTCATGAGTCACTCCCTAACAGGAGGACAAGAAGAATGTCTACTGGATCAGTGTTCTGGCTCCTCCGCGAAAATGAAAGGTGGGGGGCATGAGAATACAGAAGGATCCCCACCAGGAAGACATGCTGTCCGAAGTCACCAGACAGTAGTTATTACACATACTCAGCATCCCCCTTTGTGCCCGTGGTCATTCCTAGATAATGGGCACTGGCTCAATTATGTGACAAATAGAAAGATTTTAATTTTTCCAGTATTCCTTAAAGAATTCTATAAGAGGCAAGAGTCGTCTCCTCCTCCTCCTCCTCTCCTTTTTAGTTGTCACTTTTATCTTATTTATTTATTTATATGAGGTGCTGTGAATTGACCCTAGTGCCTCACACATGCCAGGCAAGCACTCTACCACTGAGCTACGATTATAGCCCAAGAGTTGCCCTTCCAATGTAATTGTTCCCTTAAATATCCAACCATAGCTTCAGAGTTGAATCTCAGAATCATGCCTCTAATCATTCCTGGTTTCTATCTTCAAATTTCTTTAATTTTTCATCTTATAAAAGTTACAACACATGACCAAAGAAAACTCTCACCTGAATGTACTGTATTAATGTCTAAGTTACCTCATCCTCAGTTTAGCCTGACAGTCTTTTAAAAAATTTTTAATTTTTACAGAATTACATTTTTCATGGCTTCTGGGAAGCTAGAAGGTGGAGAGTTCCTGAAACTTGTGCCTCTGTTTTTTTTTTTTTGTTTGTTTGTTTGTTTTTTCCCCTCCACCTGTGTTGAAGGCCCGAGGTCTGTCTTCCTGCTCCTTCTTCCCCAGGCCCACCCTTCTGGCAAGTCGCCTTATGACCTCTCTGAATAGTTCTCCAGGGTACCTCAGAACAATTGCACTTATCTTCCTTCTTGACCTCCAAGTCCATTTAAAGCCACAAACTCACCTTAAGCCAATTGTTTTTCTCCAACAAATTGACAAGTCAGGAGAACAAAACCACACTGAGCAAAGACACTCATTTTCATTTCCTGAGTCAGGGGAGACAGGGTGGAAAGAGATCCTGAATCACAGATCAATTGAGATTCTGGATAAAGGTAATATCTGGAGAAAATAGGCCAAGCAAGGACAAAATACTATTAAATGTGTATGTCCTTGAGTATCAGAGTGGTCTTATCTGGATCTTTATAGCTCTGTGACTTTAAGAAAGTCACATAATCTAGTTAGCTTCAGTCATCTTATCCACCTCCTGGAAATTAATACTACTTTGCTCTTGTGATTGCTAAAAAGATTAAGTGAGATGATCAGCTAAAATTCTCAGCACATGCATATACAGTAAGCACATATTTGCTGGTGTAGAGAATTCGGGACATAAAGATCAATAAAGGGCTTTACATAATCACTGCCAATATTAATTCTGAAAGGCCCCTTGGTAAATGCAAATCACGTGATTTGACAGTGACAGCAGGGGAGTGGTGTCCAGCTTCCCACTCTCTCCTCTATATCCCAGGCAGGAGCTTGAATATAGTCCATACTCGTATTGGGCAGGAGAATCCATGTTTGCTCAGAGAGCATCTCTAGACACATGTCTAGTTCCCTCCTGCTGAGCCTCAGAAGGAGAGAGTTCCTTCTTGGCATTGCAACCAGTGACCTGACTTGACCCATATAAACTGATCCACAAAGTGGGGACATGAAGCTTTCTTCGGCATTTTCAAATTCTTCTCCACTTTGGTGGAGGTGTTATTTCCCTGGTTGCTCAGGGAACCAGAGCTGAGCCAGGGAAGGATAACAAGTTAACAAGTCCAAAGATTGCCCCTTCTCTGTAGTGTCTTACATTTAGTTGCAGAGAGCTGGGATTTATACTGCCCTCGGACCAGCCGGCAGGTGGACCCATCTCCATTGCAGACCCCACAGTTATCCTCCTTGACGGTGCTTCCCAGCTGGTGGTCACAGCCAACGATCTAACAAGAGAGAGAGAGGTGTAATTCAACCGGGCTTCTCCCAATGCTGGGATCCATGTAAGGCTATTTGCCACCAAATGACCCTCCCTTTATCCCCGGGGACCCCAAAACATACTTCCTGTGAAGGGGACTGAGATGAAACAGTTTGAACCAAGCTAAGAAGAAATAAAAATAACATGGGTAAAGATATCTTTATAGTTCAAATATATAAATAGGAAGAAGGTAGAAGGGAGAGAATGGGAAAAGGAAAGAATGGGGAAAGAGTAAGGGAGAGAAGAACTATTGCTATGACAGAATATTAATTTAAAAATATTTCCCAGTGTCAAAAGGCCCACTCATACATTGCTGGTGGGACTGAAAATTGGTGCAGCCAATATGGAAAGCAGTATGGAGATTCCTTGGAAATCTGGGATGGAACCACCATTTGACCCAACTATCCCAAGCCTGTGTCTAAACCCAAAGGACTTAAAAACAGCATACTACAGGGACACAGTCACATCAATGTTTATAGCAGCACAATTCACAATAGCTAAACTGTGGAACCGACCTAGATGCCCTTCAGTAGATGAATAGATAAAGAAAATGTGGTATATATACACAATGGAATATTACTCATCAATAAAAGAGAATAATATCATGGCATTTGCAGGTAAATGGATGGAGCTGGAGAATATAATGCTAAGTAAAATTAGCCAATCCCCCCCCCCAAAAGAAAAAACAAATGCCAAATGATTTCTCTGATTTAAGGATGCTGATTCATAATATGCTGTAGGGGGGTGGGATAGGAGGATTAAATGAACTCTAGTTAGGGGAAAGGGGAGGCAGTGGTAGGGAGGGATTAGAAGGGTAGAAAGGACTTTGGAATGGGATGATCATCATTACTCTAAGTACATGTATGAAGACATGAAGAATGTGACTGAACTTTGTGTCTAACCAGAGATATGAAAAATCGTGTTCTATATGTGTAATATGAATTGTAATGCATTCTGTTGTCATATATAACAAATTAAAATTTTAAAAAATTAAAAAATATTTCCCAGTGTCAATACTTATGATTTGATAAAATGATAAAATATTCAGTCATGAGGTAAGCAGCAGGAAGCATTTTACAAATAATCTGCAGGTTCTCTATGTCCCTTAGAATGTAAGCTACATAAGGGTAGGGGTTGTATGTTGGGCCTATTGACACATTCCAAGCAACTGGAAGAATGTTTAGTGGACTATAAGTTAATAAAGTATTGCTGAATGAAGTGAAGATACCTTCTTTTCTAACTAGCACTTCAGCTAAGAAAAAAAGAGACAGAACCAGCTATCAGACATGAGGTCCATGAATTTATATGGAGGAAACTGGAGGGTTGGAATGGAGGGTGGCAGAGCCTGTTCTTTGCCTGGGCCTCTCCTGTACCAAACACAATACAGATACGTCATTGATTCCCACAACGATTATATATGATATCCCCACCTTATACTTGAGGCTATTAATCTTGCCTAAGGTCTCTTGGCTAGTAATAAGCCAGGTTCTAAAGGCTCCTAATAAAACATTTATGCTTAGTCCAAATTAGACTTGATAAAGTCACAAGTCTTTACAAAGTAAGTGGGGAAACTTATTTTTTTTGCTGTAGTTGATGTTTTTAATATTTCTTTTTTTCCATATTATCTTTTATTTGTTTTAATTAGATACACATGACAGTACAACAATCTTAACATATCATACATTTGAATCAGATGGGGTATAATTTCTCATTTTTCTGAGTGTACAGGTTATAGAATCATATTGGTCATGCAGTCACGTATATACACACAGTAATAATCATGTCTATTTTATTCTGCTGTCCTTCCTATCCCCCTTCCCCTCCCCTCCCCTCCCTCACTTCTCTCTACCCAATCTAATGTGACACACTTTTTTTCCTCACATCGTCATACAGGTATTCTGTATAACCATGAGGGTCTCCTTCCATCTTCCGTGCAATTCCCCTTCTCCCTCCCATTCCCTCCCACCTCTCTTCCTTATTTAGTGATAAATCTTCTTCTCATGCTCTTCCTCCCTACCCCATTTTGAATCACCCCCTTTATATCAGAGAAGACATTCGGAATTTGTTTTTTAGGAATTGGCTAACTTCACTCAGCATAATCTGCTCTAATGCCATCCATTTCCCTGAAAATGCCATGATCTTGTTATATTTTTAGTGCTGAGTAATATTCCATTGTGTATATATGCCACATTTTTTTAATCCATTCATCCATTGAAGGGCATCTTTATTCTTTTCTTTCTAATGTTTGATTTTTAAAACCATCAAATCCAGACAGGAGTAGTGGTGCATGGCTATAATTTTACCTATTTAGGAGGTCAAGGCAGGAGGATTGCAAGATCAAGTCTAGCTATGGAAACTTAGTAAGATCCTGTATCAAAATAAAAAATAAAAAAAGTTCTGGGGTAGAGCACCTGTGTGTTCAATCCCCAGTACTACCACCAAAAAAAAAAAAAAAAAAAAAGAGAAATGAAATAAAATAAAGAATCAATTTCAAATTATACCAGGTTATATATGTTATAGTTCTAGTTTGAGCTAACATTTGGACTCATTCTATCCCAAACTGTTTAAATTATGAGAACTGGAGTGATATTTGAAGGGGTGTATCTCCAAAAAGTTTTTGCAATTCATCCTTCTTTAGTAAACCTTGTCCTTCCTTGAGGCTTGATTTTCCTTTCATACCTTTAATTAGTAATTATAAACATATAGTTAAGCCAACATTTAAAAAATAATTATTTAGCACTGTGTTATATATGGACTCTATTTTTAAAATATAGTAATGCATATTTTTTTTTTTAATTTGAAAACCCAAACATGTCTTAAATAGATGACAAAGCAACAATGCCTTCAATAATTGCAAATTTTTTAAAGCAGAGATATTAGGACAATATCGTGCTGAATCCTAAAGTGGGGAACAAAGGCAGATTGGCTCCATCCTGTGGGTTCACTGTGGTCACCTCATCTACTCAGAGGCTGCAAGGAGGTCGTATCACAATTCAACCAGGATTCATCCATGCAAAGCCAAAAACATGCTGGCTTAAGACTTCTTTGGTATGTTTCTATGTAACTATAGAAAAATTATTCTAAAAATTCTTATCTGTAGATGGCCCCACACATGAACTGATCATATATTTGATTCTGAGTATAGTGTGAAATGTGATTGTAGTGTATCTATTTTTTTAAGTCATTTAACCATTTAAGTAACATTTATTGAAGACCTGCTATGGGCCAGGCACTGTACTGGAAGCAAAATTCAATGGTGAATTTAAGCACATATGGGCCCATCCTCCTGAGACGTACAGTCTAGTGAGAGAGGCAGCTATTACTCAAATATCACACACAATAAAAGTAAAACAAGAATGATGAGAAAAGCTATAAAACACAGGCACATGGTACACTGAGAGGATAAAATATGGAGAATTTATTTGGTTAGAGAGACCAAAGAGGAATTGACGGAGGAAGAGATTTTTGGAGCTGAGAAGCGAATGAGGAGTCAAGAGTTACCAGCTGGAGGGAGGTGTTGCTGTGAGGTTTGCCATATCTTTTAGGAATGCCTAGATCCTAGCTAATTAGAGAGGAAGCAAAAACCAAAGTTGGCAAAAATAAAAGAATGTCACAAGACTAAAATCACTGGATTGCCTTGGCGGGTGGACTCCTTTCAAGAAGCACGGCCGTCCTATTTTAGTCAGCAAAGGAGTACTGACCCTCCTGTTCTGCAGCTCAAAACTGAAGAGAGATGGGCTTAATCTTACAAGATCCCTAACTATGTGGGAGGACAAGCTGGGCAGTGGGCATGGGAATATATATTCCCAGTCTTCTCAAACCTAACGGGATTTACTCCTTCAATTATAGGAATTTCAGGTTTCTCGAAAGATTTAAGTTTCTCTGGAAAATTTTGTTTGCAGACTCTGATGTCTCTAACAGAGCCAAAGGAGATAATCATGAAAATCCTTCTCTAATTCTAAAGATTTCTTATGGTTCCAAAACCATTTTAAGAAAAGAACAATTCAGCTTCATGGATCCAAAGTAACAGTCATATTAGGAATAGCTAAATATGAGGTGACATACTTTAAGGCTAACTTGGCCAGGCCCCTGACTTAGCACTCTCAGTGTGGGTTTATGGACTCCAGGATGTGAACCAAGACAATTCTAAATGGGCGTGTGTTGTTTAACTTTGGTGTTTAAAAGACAAACATCTCCCTGACACGATTGTGTTTGTTCTTTTCTCTGTATCAATTTCTCTTTAAGATGCCAAAATATTCTAACTCAATTATTTTTAAAATGTGGAAGACTTTATCATCAGATAAAATGTTCTTGTTTTGGTCCAAGTGGAAAATTGTTTGCAATTATACCAGGGTAATCATTTTCGACATATTTTAATCTGTTGATCTTGAGTAACTTAGATTAATTAAAAATTAAACTGTTATTTTAAGACCAATTATTACTAGCAGAGAAAAATAACTAGGAATGCATGAATGAGCAGAATTGGCAGATATAATGCCAGATTCCCTCGGTGCCTTTGCACATGCTGTTACTTCTGTCAAGAATCCCCTTGACCAATTCTTTATTTGGAAAAATTTTATTTATCTTTCAAACCCTAAATTAAGTGTCTCATTCTCCAAAAAGTCTTTTTCCAGAGTCCAGAGCTAACTGCTTTATTGCTCTATGCTTCCTTAGCCTTTTGGTCGTATCTCTGTGTTGCAGAGATTACTGGTTACCACTCAATACCTACCTTCTCCCGCTTTTCTCTGTAGTAGAACTCCAGTTTTACTTGAGATGGCAGTATATCTAGTTAAAAGAATTGGCCCTGTTACCAAGTTGTAATTGGTGAAATAAAAGTGAATGTGTTGTGTATTCTAAGAAGGATACTTAAAAGAAACTGACAGCTGGGGAGAGCTCCCTTCTGCTGCTACCTTCTTACCTTCCTGTTGGCTCCAGTAGACATTTGGAAAAACAAGACAAGCTTGAGAA